CCGGTATGTATACACAAGTTATAGTCCTGAAACAAGAAAAATGCTTCTTTTTGGCCCCTAATTCCTAATCAGTTAAGACAATAACCCCGCAGATCAATCCCAACCTTCCTTTTGTGGTATGGAACCTTGTGGTATAATTTAATAGATTTCTTAAGTTATTGTCTGGAAATGAAATGTCTTTGGATGAAGACATGGACAATGTGATAACATTATACGACTGCAAAAATATTGCGGTCCTATAAAAAATCAAGGGATCGTGTCCTTGTTATCACGATATAAGCGATTTAAAATTTGGCGGGAAATGATTCTCTCTTGATTTTCATACAACTAACACTGACACCTCTTTTCTTTCAAAAACTATGAAAAAATAACAAGAATTATTTAATATTTTCAAAAATGGCTTTTTAATCTATATGTAACAAGCATTCTGAGAGTATTGCATGGCAATACATAGTCCCCTACCGGTTAAGAATTCATTGTACTGGAACAAAATGCTAACTTGATCTATAACTTGTCAAAGTGTAAACTATATAACAAATATCAAGTCAATATATTCAAGCATGACGAAAAAAAGGGTGGAAAACTGATTATTTGAGTGAATTTTCTAAGTCCAAGGACCACAACTCTGCACAAAATCATCAGACCAGAACAAAATTTGAACTTGATCTGTAACTTGTCATGATAAAACTGTATACCAATTATTAAATCAATATCTTCAAGCATAACAAAAAAACAGTGTGGAAAACTATTATTTGAGTGAATTTTCTAAGTCCAAAGACCATAACTCTGCACAAAATCATCAGACCAGAACAAAATTTGAACTTGAACTGTAACTTGTCATGATAAAACTATATACCATTTATTAAATCAATATCTTCAAGCATAACAAAAAAATGGGGAAAATTGATTATTAGGGTGAATTGTCTAAGTCCAAGGACCATAACTCTGCACAAAATCATCAGACCGGAACATTATTCGGACAGAGTGCAAACCTAAAGTCCCCTTCCACTTCATCAGTAGGGGACTAATAAAATAAGCATTCTGAGAGTGTTGCTTGGCAATACATAGTCCCCTACCGGTTAAAAATTCATTGTACTGGAACAAAATGCTATCTTAATCTATAACTTGTAATGGTGTAAACTATATACTAATTATCAAATCAATATCTTCAAGCATGACGAAAAAATGTGTGGACAAATGATAATTTGAGTGATTTTTCTAAGTCCAAGGACCATAACTCTGCACAAAATCATTAGACCGAAACAAAATTTTAACTTGATCTGTAACTTGTCATGATAAAATTATAGAACAAATAAAATATCAAGTCAATATCTTGAAGCATGACGAAAAAAGTGTGGAAAACTGATTATTTAAGTGAATTTTCTAAGTCCAAGGACCATAACTCTGCACAAAATCATCAGACCAGAACAAAATTTGAACTTGATCTGTAACTTGTCATGATAAAATTATAGAACAAATATCAAGTCAATATCTTGAAGCATGACGAAAAAAGTGTGGAAAACTGATTATTTAAGTGAATTTTCTAAGTCCAAGGAACATTACTCTGCACAAAATCATCAGACCGGAACAAAATTCGAACTTGATCTGTAATTTGTCATGATTAAACAATACACCAAATATCAAATAAAAAAAAAGTGTTGAAAACTGATTTGCCAGACTGACGGACAGACAGACAGACGGACGGAGTGCAAACCTAAAGTCCCCTTCGACTTCATCAGTAGGGGACTAAAAGAAAAGTAGGGGTTAGCTGCAAACATTTTAATGGCACTACATGGATTAAATCAGAGGATTCCGACTACCTGACAAAAAGTCAAAAACAAGAGGAGAAACATCAATACCATATTCATCCTGTCACATTTTTCACTCAAAATTCTGACCCAATTGCAATTTGTTTTGTCAAACCAAAATCTTATAGGATTGTAAGTATGCTTTGTTTTATCACCTTGTACTTTTATGACTGGGCTGTGGTTTTCTACAGCATTTGGTTAAAATTTCTGACCAGTTGAACAAATTAGAATGATAAAACAAATTGAAATTTTAAATGGAGAGCTACACTTACAGTCAAGTCACAGTAACTAATAAAATGCTCCGCAGGGCGCAGCTTGATACGACCGCAGAGGTCGAACCCTGAACAGTTGGGGCAAGTATGGACACAACATTCAAGCTTGATACAGCTCTGAATTTGGATTGTAATTAAATATTTGACACAGCATAGGTTTCTGACACAGAATGAATGTGGTCTAAAAATTTAAAATTTTAAATTGGACATTCACTTATTATGGTCCAATATCCAAAATCTAAATACATGGTTAGATTCAGCATATCAAAGAACCCCAAGAATTCAATTTTTGATGAAATCAAACAAAGTTTAATTTTGGACCCTTTTGACCTCAATGTGGACAAAGTTGATAACGGGGCCCAAAAATCAAAAATCTAAATACATGGTTAGATTCAGCATATCAAAGAACCTCATATATTCAATTTTTGTTGAAATCAAACAAAGTTTAATTTTGGACCCCGATTTGGACCAACTTCAAAACTGGGCCCATAATCAAAAATCTAAATACATGTTTAGATTCAGCATATCAAAGAACCCTATAAATTCAATTTTTGTTAAAATCAAACTTAGTTTAATTTTGGACCCTTTGGACCTTAATGTAGACCAATTTGAAAATGGAACCAAAAATTAAGAATCTAAATACACGGTTAGATTCGGCATATCAAAGAACCCCAATAATTCAATTTTTGATGAAATCAAACAAAGTTTAATTTTGGACCCTTTGGACCTCAATGTGGACCAACTTAAAAACAGGGCCCAAAATCCAAAAACTTAATACATGGTTAGATTCAGCATATTAAACAACCCCAAGAATTCAAGAATAAAAGCCCATTGAAATTGGTCAAGAAATAAGCAATTTATAAGAAGTATCTTCTTTTGCACAATACTGTGCAATTGAATATTTCTTGCTATTGCGCAATACTGCACAATTGACAATTTCTTGCTATTGCGCAATATTGTGCTATTGGATATTTCTTGCTATTGCGCAATACTGTGCAATTGAAGATTTCTTGCTATTGCGTAATACTGTGCAATTGAAGATTTCTCGCTATTGTGCAATACTGTGCAATTGAAAATTTCTTGCTATTGCACAATACTTATTATATAATAATTTACACATCCTGTTTGGTGTGTATCTCCTACTATATCATTCTTATTTGCTTTTAAATATAAATCAGAAATAACCAACTTAAAATGGAAAATTTTAAAAGAAAAAAAAAGGAAAAAAAAAAAATCCCCCCCCCCCCCCCAATTTTTTGAACCCCCTTATGATTCATCCCCCCCAAACTCAATCCCAGCCTTCCCTTTGTGGTATGGTACCTTGCAGTACAATTTCAGAGAGATCCATACACTTGAACACAAGTTATTGTCTGGAAACTAGAAAAATGTGTTTTTTGGCCCCTTTTTGGCCCCCAATTCCTAAACGTTTCGGGCAATTACCCCCAAACTCAATTCCAGCTTTCCCTTTGTGATATGGAACCTTGTAGTACAATTTCAGAAATATCCAAACACTTACACACAAGTTATTGTCATGAAACTAGAAAAATGCTTGATTTTTGCCCCTTTCTTGGCCTCTAATTCCTAAAATTTTGAGGCAATTACCCCCAAAATCATTCCCAGCATTCCCTGTGTGATATGGAACCTTGTGGTACAATTTCAGAGAGATCCATACACTTGAACACAAGTTATTGTCTGGAAACTAGAAAAATGCTTATTTTTGGCCCCTTTTTGGCCCCTTATTCCTAAACGTTTCGGGCAATTACCCCCAAACTCAATTCCAGCTTTCCCTTTGTGATATGGAACCTTGTAGTACAATTTCAGAAAGATCCATACACTTTCACACAAGTTATTGTCATGAAACTAGAAAAATGCTTGTTTTTTGCCCCTTTTTTGGCCCCTAATTCCTAATATTTTGAGGCAATTACCCCCAAAATCAATCCCAGCATTCCCTTTATGATATGGAACCTTGTGGTACAATGTCAGAGAGATCCATACACTAACACACTTGTGTCTGGAAGTTACAAAAATGCTTATTTTTGGCCCCTAATTCCTTAACTGTTGGTACCATAACCCCCAAAATCAATCCCAACCTTCCTTTTGTGGTATTGAACCTTATGGTAAAATTTCCTAGAGATCCATTCACTTAAACTAAAGTTAGAGTGCGAAAACCAATGTGTCTTCGGACGATGCCGGACGACGTCATACCAATATACGACCGCAAAAATTTTTGCGGTCGTATAAACATTCCATGTTCAGGGGTTATATAACAAACAAGACCAATGGATAAAGACCTGAGTCGCTGCATGTAATTGATTAAGGCAACATGTATACTGAAGCATAACTGATCATTCCCTTCCATAGAAGCCATGAAAAATTTGATGAAAATTTTCCTTGTACAGTGAGTGTTGTAAAATTTCAAACTATTGGCAAACATTAAGTGGTTGCACTGCTGATGGAAAAATTGCTTAAATGTTCAAACTCCAGACTAAATATAAAATTATTCCCTTCCATAGTAGACAAGAGTTTGACAAAAAAAATTGTCATTGTACAATGAGTGATATAAAATTTCAAACTATTGGCAAACATTAAGTAGTTCGACAGCAGATGTCAAATTCCTTAAACCCTACCACTCAACATTATCAAGCTCAAGACCAAATATAAAATCATTCCCTTCAATAGAAGCCAAGTTAAGCTTGGCGAAAGGTTTCTTCCCAATGTCTTTTGTACAGACAAGAGTGGAGTGGTTACTAGACTTTCGACGCAGGCAAAAATAGAAGTATTGTCAAACAAGAAACTGCTTGGCAGATCCGAAGATGGCTTAACAGAAGCTAATCTATAACAAAAGTTACAGATGGATGGACAGACAAGGTGATTGAAGTAAGGGAGGTAATAATAAAAACACTTGAGAAAAACCTCTACACATGTTTCTTTCAGTTTATTGTAAATATATATACTTTTATAAATGTATGATCATATAAATGTATTATGCACTGTGTATTTAAATGGAAAAAAGAAAATTGCTGAAAATTATTCATTTTCTAGTCTACTATACATATATCTACCCTCTATCAACAAAATACCCTCAATCTTATACTGTAAAATATCTAAACTATTTGCTGTATATGGCTTTTCAAAATACTTCAGCAAAAGTACTTGCATTCAATGATCTTGTGGGATAAGTGATCTTTGATGGATTTTCTACTATGGTTTCATGCTTTGCACATTATAAATCCCTTCCATTAGATTTAAAGGGAGAGGTATGATCATTATTTGGCCACTGAAATTTCAATTATTATAAAGGTTAAATTATACTTTTAAAATTATGTTAATTTTATTGATAAATGAACAAGCTGATATTATCTTGACACATACGTGAAGAAAGGTCAGTTGTGATGTCATCATGACATCATAAATATGTCAAAATTGACATTTCTCCAAAAATGGCCAATTTCCAACTGGTTTTTGTTCCAAATATATATAATATGTCTTGTAGCAATATATATTTTTGGATAAAGCATTGGCTCATATCTCTCAATGAGGCTAAATTACAGTTAAGCACAAAATGTAAGATGTTTAAAACTCTAAGGCAAAAAAGAAAGACAAAATTTAAAAACATCAATACTCATGATTGATAGTCTAATGTCATAAAAACTTCTGAAGTATGCTATTTGGCAGATTTTTAATAAAACTTAATTTTCAAATTCAGGGGCAAAAAAGGTGGCCTTATTATTCCTTCTCCTTTCTTATTCTATTAATGAAAAAAATGCTCAAAAATGGTTTCTTCATGAATAATAATTCTTTACTGTAAATGTATATTCAAGTGATCATTCACAACCAATGCATATAAATAAAAAAAGAAAAAGAAAAGTACAGGGTTTCTTATTGCAAAATATTTGACAACTAAAAACAGCTGTAAATCTTAATATCATGTACTTGATCTTTCCCTGAAGCAACCCTTACTAAATTTGAAATAAGTGATTGATATTTCAGATCTCTTTTTACAACAGGAATACAGTGTCATCATTCTATAACTCCAAATTCTTTTATATTTGTCATCTTCATGGCTTCTGACCATAACTTTTTCTGTAAATCGTCATTCTTAACTTTGTCATCATATTCTGTAATTGCACACTCCCTACAATAGAAATCAATGCATTAGAAATTTTTCAGTCTACATCATATTACAACTACCATTACAAATGATTTTTGTCCTTCATATACACTGATAAAAGTATTTTTACAGTTATCTTCACCCCAAATTTATTGTACTTTCCTATTGTTAATTTTCCTTTCCTCAATGGTGACGCTGTGTTAGCTCCTATAAATACGGTAGACTGTACATTTTCTAAGTTTGTTTGATATGCATGTTTGCAGTGAAATCTCAGAATTTATTGACCGTAACATTTTCATTACTAAAAAACTTACACAGCAATGAATCATATATCATAATTGGTCAAAACTTTAACTAAATTTTATCCTAACTTAAGTAATTTATTAAGGATGTATGATTACACTTGCAGGAATTAAATTTAAAATGGAAATCTATGCTCAGCTTTTATGGTTATGTACATTGTAATTATACAAACATTGATATTGGAAGAAAGTAATGACATATGCTTCAGTCATGGTTAATAATTGTATAATGTGTTTATGAGGTCAAAGCCAGCTGTTCCTGACACCATTTTTATTCATTTTAAGGCATCTTGGCCTTCAAAATAAGGCCTGGGTCAAGGTTATGGCATCTTTAAGTCAAAGAAAGCAATTTTTTAAAACTTATTTGTATCACTTGGATCTAAGCATGCAGTGCTATGAAATGTCCCAGACACTACTCGAATATATATACATATTATATGTTATTACAATTTATAATGTATAATATTATGCCAAGGGTCTTTCACCTTTGGAGTGTTGGCAAAAATTTCCCAGAAAAGGTTTCAAGACATTTATCATATGTGACCTCAACCTACAAGACATGCCTTTGGATCAACATAACAATCCAATCTAAATCCATAGGGAGTATTTTTGCCATGTATGACAATTATTAACATAAAATCAGCCTGCATTTCACAAAATGTCAGTAGAATACAATCAGTCTTAAATTTCCCCAACACTTTGTTTGCAAGTAGTGTTATAATAAAAAGTGGTACCTGTCTCATTCTCTACAATTTTACTTACATCTGAAACAAAATGTGAGCAATAAATGGATGCTTAGTGGCACAAACTCTCTGGCATTACTTACTTATATAAAAGTCCACTAGTTTTTCCAGCTAGTTCTGATAAAGCAGCGTATAAGACTGTCTGAGCACCATCATCTGCTGTTTTCATCAAAAACCATGTAATAGGAGCAAATGACATTGCAATAAATCCACTCTGTTGGAATGGCATGTGTCTATAAATTTTGGTTTTGGCAATACCAGGCAGAACTTGATGTACAGAGACTCCTTCTCCTGAAATAAGTTATGAAAAATATGTACCCGGTATATCAAAAGAAGATTATAAATTAGATTTGGGAAAAAATTACACAATAACTCAAATGGCATTCCAGAGCTACAAAATGCAAATTCATCTACCGTCCATATTCTATACAATTTGAATCACTCTGAACAAGCAAAGAATCAGTTAAATATCAACAAAGAAAAAAAATTGTTGCGCCAAACCAACTAAAAATAAAGTTGTCCAGTTTAATTTGATTTTTCTAGGTCTGTTCAATTTCATATTATAGATTAAAGATATATATTAATCATCGTTTTTACCTGTATAAGAATGATTTTTTTGTGGATCAAATCAGTAAATCAAATGATTTACCTTTGTTTCACTTTCAATGTTGACATTCTTTTCCTTTAAATAACTTAACATGCACAATGCATGCGTTATCCATCTCTAGCTTAGGGGTTAAATTGAAGTTCACATGAATATGGATTCAATGAGGTCGAATTATTCACTTGCAAGTGAATAATTCATCATCAATGTTTCTTAGCTTATTTTGACAAAATTGAACCATACTGGCTGCTAAAAGCAAATTATTATTTCACTATTTCACTTTCATTAATGATTGAACAAAAACAATCATACTTTAGATTTTTTATATATCTCGTAGCTAGTGCCCCTTTTAAGTTAGAGAACGGAAACAAAAAATTTAGCAATTTTTCCATTTGTAAAGGGCATAACTCTAGAACGGTAAAAGTGACGCCACCAAAATTCAAACTTGATCTGTATTTAGTGATAATAAGCATTGTGTATAAATTTCATAACATTTGGTTGAGACAAACTAAAGTTAGAGAACGGAAACCAACTTTGGGACGTATGTTTGTACATACAGACGGACAAGGGTAAAACTTAATGCCCCCTCCGCTATGGCGGGGGAATAAAAATATATATACTGCAGTAGCCTGATTCAGAACAACTTACTGTCCAAACGCTGAGCAAGATCTATTCCAAAAAGGACTAATGCTAGTTTACTCTGTCCAAACCCTGCTGATGTTGTGTAATCTTTTTCTAAATTAATGTCATCCCATTTTAATTCTCCTAGTGAATAAGCAGGTGCCACTAAATTAATTATCCTAGATGGTTTTGATGATTTTAACATGTCTAACAACAAATGTGTCAATAGAAATGGACCTACAATGTAAAAATATTCACCATTATTCAAAACAAGTCAACTGATGAATGAAAAGATGAGAATATAATCAAAGCATTAAGAACTGCAAAAAGCAGTTAACTTGAATAGGATATGATATGCAGTATTTTAACAAGAATCGACAACACATTAAATTTAATATTTAATATATCAATACTTATTCCTGAATTTTAGTTTTTACTGAATAAAAGGTTGCTGTCTGTCATTTTTTTTCCTTGTTTATTGTATTGTCATTGTTCAGGTTGTTGATTTTCTCGTTTGAATTGTTTCACTTTTTGTCATGTTGGGGCCTTTTATAACTTCCTATACGGTATTAGTTTTGTACATTGTTGAATGGCATATGCTTACCCATAGAACTTGCACTTAACAAATAACAATATAATGTGTTTTCCTTTACTCAAATGATGTTCTTATTTGTGTTATTTTTATTATTGTTAAGAAAAACATATTTGAACGCTCTAATCCAATTTAAGGGCATTGATGGCCTAGATTTCTAAGAAATTGAACAACTGTATCACTAGCCTGTCAACACTGAGGTTGTTAGTTCGAATTCTGCATGTGGCAGGTGTGCTCAACTCCAATCTTAATTGACTAGGATTGTAAGTTTTCCTACCGAAGGTCTGTGGTTCTCTCCGGGCCCCATCAACGAAATAGCATAATAGTGCTGAAAGTGGTGTTAAACACCAATCAATCAATCTAATCCAATTTGAAATTCATCTGAGTTACATTTTAGAAAACCATTACTTACTTAGAAAATTTACTTGGAATTGAGATTCAAAATTATCCTCAGTAACTTCCCTTGGACACATCATTACAGCAGCATTGTGTATCAGGTAGTGAAGAGTGGTCTCCTCTGAAATAAACAATTCAAAAAATTTTAATTCATATATACTTGACATAATTTCAATTATCTTAATGAAACGAAATAATTCTAATGCAAAATGAAACAGCTTTCTAAATGTTTATATGATTTATCACTGAAAAGATTATTGATTAATTGATTCCTTGGTCTACGGTCATAAAACTTTGCTCAGTGCTCAGAGTATAAAATTTGTGCCCAAAACACCAAATTCAGTATTTTGATTGGTTGAATTCTGAGTCTGAGTACGATAATTGTACTCAAAATACTTATGACCATGAGGCCTAGTGTCCAGGGACAATTATTGCATGTATATTCAGGATAATAACATGTTAGTGTCATATCCTGCTTTGAACTAGACAGACAGGCAGAATTTAGTGTGCATGCTCAAAAGAGAAAAGACAGCAGGGAGACATGAAACATTAGCTGGACATGGTATCCTGACCCTGAGAAAACCAATCTTTGTTTTTACTTTTTAAAGCTGCATGCTCAGCAGAGAAGCAGTACATTCCACAAAAATCCACCCACTGGTAAATTTTAAAAACAAGAAAGCCCATCACTGTAAGTTCTGCAATACAGCAATATGACAACTTTTATGCTCAGTTTAGAAAAACTTTATTGGCATCTCACTTAAAAGAAAACTGTTATTCCTTAGGTCAATGATAACAGAAATCTTTTTGATTATAATGTTCATCACTCATGCAAGTTCTACCCTAAATTTTCTATGTCTTTTCAAGATAGGGGGGCATTAAGGATCATAATAATCTCTAAATATGTTAAAATTTCAAATCTATTATGAAACAGGTGACAACTTTTCTCATAAAATTATAGAAAAAAATAATTCTTGGAAAATAACAAGAAATATTCAAATTTCTGAAATTACAATGAAAAAAATAAAGCATCATAAAATGTTTCCTATTAAGGATTAATTTTTTTTTATATGTTTGGTAAATTTTTATTCCAATTTCAAGTCCTAAAATTGCATATGAGAAACAACTTAACTTTATACTTTTACTTACTAATTACTTACTCACACTTCGTTGTTTCTCAATCAAAGAACCAATTGTCCAGGACAAAATTTGCAGAAAACAAATACTGGTTAATTGTTAATACATGTATTTTAAAAACATCTAATACAAACTTCAATTTTTATGGTCACTGTCATGATGAACGTTATAGAATATTGCTATTACAGATAACCATAGATGTGTTACATTTGTCATACTTATTATCACCAAATATGACATCAATATTCATCTACATGTCTAAGCAACATTACAGGGGCCACTTGTGAAGTATATAATATATGTGACGTCAGATGGTATATATATGCAGCCATGTTATTTATACATTGTTTACTAAACTCACTTTTTTTAAAGGCTTCCACAAAATCCCTGACAGCTTTAAATGATCTTAAATCACATGGGATAAAAAAGATGGTTTCATTTTTTGCAGTTGTTCTCATTTCTTCAACACATTTCTCTCCTTCTTCTTTGTTTTTACCACAAATATAAATTCTGGCACCTGAAATATTAGGAATAGTATGATATATTCTGTCATCTTTAATGTATATTTAACTGTATAAATCAAGCTTGTTTGTTTGTTTGCTGGTGTTTAATTCCACTTTCAGCACCTTTAGCTTTATCATGACAAGTTTTTATTGGTGAAGCAAATTGGAGTACCAGGAGTGAACCGACGACTTTCTCCAGGAAAACTGGAAATCCTTGTCAATAAAGATAAGAAAAAATCTTAAGTGGTAGGTATCTATAAAACAATAACATAGCAATGATAATTAAATTATAGAATTTTAAAAGTGCATATTTTAAGCAAATTATGTTACAACAGTGTTCACATCTATGCCAATCTTATGGAATAGGTAACTACTAGGTCCAATAGCTGGTTCAAATTTTTTATTTATGAGAGACTTATATAAAAAGTTTGTTTGATAGTGATTCTAATTTTATAGGTAAACCTTTCCATATAAATTGGTTTCTTTTTATATTAACAGTGCTTTTTATAGAATTTTCCAACTTTAAGATGGCTGCCAAGTCTTTTGGTATTGATTTCTTTACCAAATCGATTTCAGCTATCCAGTTTGATTTATTTTTTAGTTTATTCAAAATGACATCTTATGAAACGCAGCCTTTTTCATCTGTGATATCATTTACATAAATAAGATCGCTTTTAATCCAATTTTTAATAAAATGCTTCGCTGAGCGCAGCCTGATACGACCTCAAGGTCAAGCCCTGAACAGTTGGGGCAAATATCGACACAATATTCAAGTTTGATACTGTCTGAATTTGGATTGTGATCACATTTTTGACATAATATAGGTTTCTGACACAAAATAAATGTGGTCAAAGATCTTACAAATCTATTGCACAATACTGTGCATTTGAAGGTTTCTTCTTTCTTCTTGAAACTTTTCAAAAATTTGAAATTTGAAAAATTTAAAAAAAAATATGAACCCCTTATAAAAATTGGAACCCCCCCCGCCTCGACAAGATTTTTGAATCCCTCCTTAGAGCAATTACACACAAACTCAATCCCAGCAATTCCTTTGTAGTATGGAACCTTGTAGTACAATTTCAGAGAGATCCATTCACTTAAACACAAGTTGTTGTCTGGAAACTAGAAAAATGCTTGTTTTTGGCCCCTTATTCCTCCATCTTTGGGGCAATTACCCCCAAACTCAATCCCAGACTTCCCTTTGTAATATCGAACCTTGTGGTACAATGTCAGAGAGATCCATACACTCACACACAAGTTATTGTCCGGAAACTACAAAAATGCTTGTTTTTGGCCCCTTTTTGGCCCTTAATTCCTAAACTGTAAGCACCATAACCCCCAAAATAAATTCCAACCATCTACTTGTGATATTAAACATTGTGGTACAATTTCAGAGCAATCAAAATACTTATACACAAGTTATTATCCTGAAACTAGTAAAATGCTTGTTTTGGGCCCCTTTTGGGCCCCTAATTCCTAAACGGTTGGGACCATCATCCCCAAAATCAATCCCAACCTTCCTTTTGGGGTATTGAACCTTCTTAAAAAATTTCATAGAGATCCATTCACTTAAACTTAAGTTATTGTCCGGAAACCAAATGTGTCTTTGGACGACGACGACATCATACCATTATACAATCCCAAAAATTTGTTTGCGGTCGTATAAAACTATTGCTTTATTTTCAAATTTAATAAATTTATTGTTCCATAATATTTGTTTTCTTATATCTGTAAATGTTTCAGGCTTTTTCGTTAGACCCCCACCAGTTAATTTCCAACATTTAAGGATAGTTTTATAAAAATCTTGGATTCTTTCAAGGCTTTCTTCTGGATTATCCCCACTATTTGTTTGAAACACTAGCCAATTTGACCCAAAATTATAGAAATAGTACTGAGGTATAATTTTCCAATCTCCTTCACAATCACTTACTAGTCTTTTAACCCACATAGCTTTTAAAGCAAAGAAATAACTTCTTATATCTACATGTATCATATCTAATCCCCCTTTTTCAAATGGACTTATGATCGAATTTCTTTTAACTCTATCTGGTTTATTATCCCAAACGAATTTAAAACAACTTTTCTATTTCTTTCAAATATTTCTCAGGAACTATACATGCAGTTCCTATAAAAGTGAAAATGGACACAATTAATGTTTTAATTATCAAAATTTTTCCAAAAAATAATAAGATTTCTTTTCTGCCAAGAACAAAATAATCTATTCGTCTTTTCAATTTTTATTTTCCCAATTTAGTTTTTCACATTCCTCTCTACAGTACTCAATATCTTATTTTACAACCAGGTTTGGAATTTTTCGTCTAGAGCCTAAATCACAAACACTTAAAAATCACAAAAACTTAAACATATGAACAGCTTAAACATATGAACCATCTTATTCAAAAGGCACAAAAAGACCTAGGAAAAGTGATTCTTGCTTCTGAACATAACCAGTAACAAAGAGGATGTACTTGTGTCATAGTTTTATCTACCAAAGAATCATAGCAAAATTTGAAATACCATCAAGAAAATACTTGACCTCAGTAAAAGCTAATACATTTTGAATTGAAGGATCATACCTCTTTTGGCCATATCCAGTGCTGTCCATTTTCCAATACCTTTTGTGCCACCAGTTATAATTGCTACTTTCCCTGTCAGTTTTAAATCTGTCATACAACGAGCTCCTCTCATATATTGTCTGAATAAAGATAAATAAAAATAATGGAGGAAAAATGATGAGCTTGTATATCTGACCCATGAAAAAAAAATATAAATGTGGATAGTGTCCACATGTGGACACAGATGATGCCCCCGCTTGCATATCATATAGTTATAAAGGGACATAACTCAAGAATGGTAAAAGTGACTCCACCACATTTCGTACTTAATCTGTATTATGTAGTAATAAGCATTGTGTATAATTTTCATAACATTTGGTTGAGGCAAACTAAAGTTAGAGAACGGAAACCAAAAAATTGTACATTATCTTAGTTTTGAGGTAATGAATATTGTGTATAGGTTTCATAATGTTTGGTTGGGGCAAACTTAAGTTACAGAATGGAAACTAAAAATTTTGCAATCTTTCGATTTATAAAGGGACATAACTCAACAATGGTTAAAGTGACACTACCCAAATTCATCTTGATCTGTGTTTTATCAGTGGAAGGCAAAATTAAACATTGCATTGTATAAAGCATTGACTGTAGTTGGTTCAACTATAATCATGGACAAAGGAAGATAACTCCAATTTTAAAAATTACTTGAATAATGACATTGATATTTTTAGAAATTACATTTAGTTAAGACAAACTCAAGTTAGAGAACGGAAACGAAAAATTCAGCATTTTTTTCATTTGTAAAGGGGCATAACCCTAGAACGGTAATCAAAGTGCTTGTAAGCACTGAATGGTAAAGATTGCTTTAATTTATCAGTAGAAAGTAAAATTGAATATTGCATTGTATAAAGCATTGGTTGTAGTTGATTCAACTACCATTATGCACAAAGAAAGATATCTCCAATTTTCAAAGAAGACTTTAAAATATTTTTAGAAATGAAGGGTAATAAAATGCTCCGCAGGGCGCAGCTTGATACGACCGCAGAGGTCGAACCCTGAACAGTTGGGGCAAATATGGACACAACATTCAAGCTTGATACAGCTCTGAATTTGGATTGTGATTAAATATTTGACACAGCATAGGTTTCTGACACAGAATGAATGTGGTCTAAGAACTTAAAAATTTTAAATTGGACATTCACCTATTATGGTCCAATATCCAAAATCTAAATACATGGTTAGATTCAGCATATCAAAGAACCCCAAGAATTCAATTTTTGATGAAATCAAACAAAGTTTAATTTTGGACCCTTTTGACCTCAATGTGGACAAAGTTGATAACGGGGCCCAAAAATCAAAAATCTAAATACATGGTTAGATTCAGCATATCAAAGAACCCCATATATTCAATTTTTGTTGAAATCAAACAAAGTTTAATTTTGGATCCCGATTTTGACCAACTTAAAAACTGGGCCCATAATCAAAAATCTAAATACATGTTTAGATTCAGCATATCAAAGAACCCTAAAAATTCAATTTTTGTTAAAATCAAACTAATTTTAATTTTGGACCCTTTGGACCTTAATGTAGACCAATTTGAAAACGGAACCAAAAATTAAGAATCTAAATACACGGTTAGATTCGGCATATCAAAGAACCCCAATAATTCAATTTTTGATGAAATCAAACAAAGTTTTATTTTGGACCCTTTGGACCTCAATGTGGACCAATTTAAAAACGGGGCCCAAAATCCAAAAACTTAATACACGGTTAGATTCAGCATATTAAAGAACCCCAAGAATTCAAGAATAAAACCCCATTGAAATTGATCAAGAAATAAGCAATTTATACGAAGTATCTTCTTTTGCACAATACTGTGCAATTGAATATTTCTTGCTATTGCGCAATACTGTACAATTGACAATTTCTTGCTATTGCGCAATATTGTGCTATTGGATATTTCTTGCTATTGCGCAATACTGTGCAATTGAAGATTTCTTGCTATTGCGCAATAATGTGCAATTGAAGATTTCTTGCTATTGTGCAATACTGTGCAATTGAAAATTTCTTGCTATTGCACAATACTTATTATATAATAATTTACACATCCTGTTTGGTGTGTATCTCCTACCATATCATTATTATTTGCTTTTAAATATTAATCAGAAATAACCAACTTAAAATGGAAAATTTTAAAAGAAAAAAAAAAGGAAAAAAAGAAAAAAAAAAAGTAAAAAAAAATCCCCCCCACAAATTTTTTGAACCCCCTTATGATTCATCACCCCCAAACTCAATCCCAGCCTTCCCTTTGTGGTATGGTACCTTGCAGTACAATTTCAGAGAGATCCATACACTTGAACACAAGTTATTGTCTGGAAACTAGAAAAATGCTTATTTTTGGCCCGTTTTTGGCCCCCAATTCCTAAACGTTTTGGGCAATTACCCCCAAACTCAATTCCAGCTTTCCCTTTGTGATATGGAACCTTGTAGTACAATTTCAGAAATATCCAAACACTTACACACAAGTTATTGTCATGAAACTAGAAAAATGCTTGTTTTTTGCCCCTTTTTTGGCCCCTAATTCCTAAAATTTTGAGGCAATTACCCCCAAAATCAATTACAGCCTTTCCTTTGTGATATGGAACCTTGTGGTACAATGTCAGAGAGATCCATACACTTACACACAAGTTATTGTCTGGAAGTTACAAAAATGCTTATTTTTGGCCCCTTTTTGGCCCCTAATTCCTTAACTGTTGGTACCATAACCCCCAAAATCAATCCCAACCTTCCTTTCGTGGTATTGAACCTTATGGTAAAATTTCATGGAGATCCATTCACTTAAATTAAAGTTAGAGTGCGAAAACCAATGTGTCTTCGGACGACGCCAGACGACGACGACGACGACACCAACGTCATACCAATATACGACCAAAAAATTTTTAATTTTTGCGGTTGTATAAAAATTGCTTTAATTTATCAGTGGAAGGCAAAATTAAACATTGCATTGTATAAAGCATTGATTGTAGTTGATTCAACTATAATCATGGACAAAGGAAGATAACTCCAATTTTATTTTAAAAATTACTTGCTATTTAGAAAAAAAAAGAAGAAAAAATTAACAATTTTTCCATTTGTAAAGGGCATAACTCTAGAACAGTAAAAGTGACGGCACCAAAATTCAAACTTGATCTGTATATTGTGGTAATTAGCATTGTGTATAAGTTTCATAACATTTGGTTGAGGCAAACTTAAGTTAGAGAACGGAAACGAAAAATTTGGCAATTTTTCCATTTGTAAAGGAGCAAAACTCTAGAACGGTAAAAGTGACGCCACCAAAATTCAAACTTGATCTATATTTAGTGATAATAAGCATTGTGTATAAGTTTCATAACATTTAGTTGAGGCAAACTAAAGTTAGAGAACCGAAACCAACTTTGGGACGGACGGACGGACCGACAGACGCACAGACGGACAAGGGTAAAACTTAATGCTCCCTCCGCTATGGCAGGGGCATACATAGCAAAATTCTTTCACTCAGTCTTAATCATGATAATTTTGTTGATAAATAGGCTGGTATAATCTGGACAGTTTTAAGAGCAGATATGTCAGTTGTGATGTCACTTTGTTATAATAAACATATAATTTTATGAACTATCCCTTTTTACAATGACTAGTACATACAGTGCAGATGTAAATCATTTAGCAAAGAATCAGGACTATTTCCTGTTTGATCAGTTAAACCAACCCTTTTGAGGATTGCTTTTCTCCTCTAAATTACCATTGCACTCTCTTCCTTTGTAGGAGTGTGAGAGGAAAATTATGTTTTTAATGAGGCAGGTGCTACCTGATGTGCTCCTGGAGGTTATAAAACTTCTATATATATTTATAATATTGAATACAAAATTTGAAAGACCCTTATAAAATTCTTCTTCAAGTAAGAAACCACCATCAACTGGTTTAACTATCCAGGTTCCTGCCACATTATTGAAGTGAGCACACAAATATTTTTAAATTTGATAAACAAAAATGGGTACAATTTATATATATATATATATATATATATATATATATATACTGTTTTACAGGCGCAATTAAAAACAGCTAAGCCTCGAAAGATTCAGGACTCTGGACAGAGACAGAGCAGGTTGGCAAGGTTTTCCACTCCAATTGATTTAGGATAATATGACTCATTCCATACAATTGCTATGGGTAGCTATATATATATATACCGTTTCGATCCCTAACATCACTGAAGAGACATTAGTTGTCGAAATCTGGATATGGTGTACAAGTTTTTGCACCTCATGTTTGTGGTATACCATCTTTTCCACAAGTTTATTGTTTTCTGTTTGGTATTAGATTAATATTAAGATCCATTTTGTTAGATCTGGTGATCAATTTATTTGGCAATCTCCAATGGCAGTCAGCAGGGTTTAAGAACATCAGTTGTTCGACCTGTTAGTCAAATGCGTTTTGTTAAAATAGACTTTTTCACTTTTTTTGGTCTTTTGGAATTTGTTGTTTGTGCTGTATTTAGACCCCTCTACCAAGTAATTTGTTTTACATGCACACGTATAAAAATTGCGGTTTTTATCCAACGCAATCATAGGTTTGAACGTTGTTTTCAATTTAGACTTTTATATATATATATATATATATTTATATATATACAACTCGTCTAAACATCAGCCCATCAATGTTAGATCTGTAAATTTGCTTTCGCAAATTTTTTGTTCTTCCCTCGCCGGGATTCGAACTCATGCTACTGAGGTATCGTGACATCAAATGTTGTAGAGTTGTCACTGGTTCAGACGTACTTATATATATATATATATATATATATATATAGTCACATTTGTTAAAGACTCTATAGTATTACAAGTTTTATTTTGATTGAATAATTTATACATGAAAGCATTCATACTTTTTCAAACTTGCTGAAAATAATATTGTCCTTTGGCTAATTTTTTTTAACAGATCTAAATTTGCAGGAAATGGTATACTCATCTAACATGTATAAGATGTTTTACAAAAAAACCTTTCACAAGAAAACAAAAACCAGAAAGAAGTTTTATCGCAGCCATGTTTTTGGAAGGTTGTTCAGGGCCATAGAATATAGACAAAAATCAACCATTCTATCAATAATGTAGTCCAAATAATAGGAAGGCGTTTGAGCAAAAAATTAAAATGGCCTTCCAAAACTTCATATAATTAATATTTGACTACCATTTATAAACCAATCTCAAGTTGTTTTTTTAAAGGTGATTATCAAATGAATTACAACAGTTGACCCTAGGTAAATCAGCATAAACCAATTCAACGAAAAATTGATTCAATTGTGATGAAATAACATAAGCATTCAAAAGTCTTCTAATAGTAATAATCTGATTTGGATAGGTCATGTAGGTAGGAAAAGCAAAAGGGGGAGAGTCAAACATAAGATACTAAAGTCCCACAGTTCTTCCAAACTTCATTAGCTGCTAGAGTATGACAGGGAAATCCATTTTTATTTATAAAAAACATTCAAAGAGTATAATAAAACTTTTTTGTTGGAGAAGGAAAAACTTCAAAAGGGGGATGGTCAAAAATTAGATGTCAGGTGTAACAGTTTTCAACACACCTTAAAGCGTAACCAATACCAATGGCGAAGGCTATAATGATTGGCCACCAGGATTCATACAAAGCCTCGGGGTTGGGAAGACCTTCTAAAGGGTTTGGTCGACTCATATTTTCAGTTTTCGATGTGGCCCAAAGCGTGTATTCTGGGTTTCAGCAGAAAAGAAGTTAAAGGGAGGTAATTTATACAGTAAAGTGTAGATTTATTTGCACCCATGGGGCGAAAGCAAGTTTGCATCATTTAATTTTATTTCAATGAAAATGTGATGGTTTAAAACTGCAAAAAGAGCAATATAACCACGTTTACCAGGTACCCCAAAAAAATGAGTGATAAGAGTCATGATGTAAATTGGTTTGTTTTAAAAGTTTTGAGCTTGACCTTGCATGTTCATGATGTTGGTTTATATAATTTTCACATGTTCCTACTTTTTTCTTCTACATACTGTCAACATTCAACGTGTTGAAAGCCTATCATGTTATAAATGTTCAGCTTTTTAATTTCGTTTATTTATCAATCAGTTGATTGATTTAAAGACATTATATGCTCTGATTAAACATTACATTTCTATAAATAAGCTTTTGTGCAATAACAGTAAACCCTAAAGAAATAAAATAACATATTAACTGTTGAGGGATGCAACATGTGGATCAGGATCTGCTTACCCTCAGGGCACCTGAGATATCTGCTGTTTTTGGGCCAGGTTCATGGGTCAATGTATATTTGTTCCGCCTAACAGAAGTTCCACTGGAAACTTTGTTATAAACAATGTCATAATACATGTTCCTGTTGGAACAAACATTCTATACCATTTATTCTGTTAGGAACATATCCTGTAATTATTCCAGTGGAAATAATATTCTAGAATATTTTTTCCATTTGGAACTTATATTATGAAGGAACTTCTATTTCATGACACATTGTTGCGTAGTCTAGCATGTCTAGTTTTCTTTCAGTGTTTTGTAAACTGTTTGTCTTTTAGTCGTTTTTCGTTTTTTTGCAATTGCATTGTTAGTTTGTTTTCAAATTATGAGTTTTTAGATCTGTATCTCCTGCCTCTCTTTTATTTTGAATTATTTAAAGGAAATCAGTTGTTGTCATTTGCTGCTGTATATCATACATGTATTTGTTTTTTTTCGTTTTAAAGTTTTGTACATAAATCAGGCCATTAGTTTTTCTTTTTGAAATTTTTTACATTGTCATTTCTGCGCCTTTTATAAATTGCTATGTGGTATGGGTTTTGCTAATCCATGTAATTGTTCAAGGCCATACAGTGACATGTAGTTGCTAACTTCTAAGTCATTTGGTATCAAGTGGAGAGTTGTCTCATTGGCAATCATACCACATCTTCTTATTTTTATACAGAAATTTTATATTTTTCTCCATTCAATGAAATTCTCTTGGAACTTCACAAAAATTTATAAATTGTTTTCAGTACCATTTCCCCTTATATTTTAAGACAACCATACATTATTGACATGTGCCAGAATAGGGAACAGGTTGACATAATGAACTTGGATGCATAACATTACACTACAGATATTTTATAAGTTTTACTCAGGTATAAGTTGAAGGCATGTCATTGATGGTCTACTGTTACTAATATGGTTTACAAATGAAATCTTAAGGTAAAAAGTTCAGCGTCTAGATATGTAACTGTTGTTCTAATTAAATTGTCACTATGAACAAACACTTCAATGTGGAAGTGTTAACAAGGACATCCCCAAAGAAAAAAAGAAAATCTTATTTACTCTCAGAGACATATCTTATATCTCGACAGTATAAAAATAATGAGATGTGGTATGATTGGCAGGTTTTTCACCATCCTTCATAAGCCATGTAGATAGCAATTATATTTGATATTATATAAAAATAAGAAGATGTGGTATGATTGCTAACGAGACAACTATCCAACAGAGACCAAAAGGATGTGGATGTAAGCAATTATAAGTCACTGTACAGCCTTCAACAATGAGCAAAACCCAAACTGCATAGCAAGCTATAAAAGACCCCTGCATGACAAAATTTAAAACAGTTCAAATGAGAAAACCAACAGCTTGATTTATGTACAAAACAATAAACAAAAAACAAATATACATGCTAAATTGATATCAAATTATCTGGAAAAAAGATTTGGTAGCTGTATAGTAAGTTCTTGTCACAATTTGGTACTTGAACTCAAATGTCATTGATACTATTTAAAAAATAAAAAATGCATCCATCTATCTGTTGGGCATAATTTTCATGTAAAATGTCTTATGCAAACAATGGCTAATTTGAATCAAATTAGAAATCATTGTGAATTTAGAATATATGTAAAATATATATTCTATAAGGAAGTCATGCATTTATATCTATCATTGATTAAAAATACCCCTTTCTCAATACCCTGAGAAGGTATCCTACTTCATTAGCAATGTTTAAAATGCTTCTTTGCAAACCTTCAGAATGGAATTAGCACTTCAATTGTGTAGTATGCTCAGTGCTTTTACTAATCCTGAATATAATGATCAGATTAGAAGCAAGTGGTGCATCCATTGAACACATATCTAGATATGACATAAGGTGACTCCTTGATAGATTTAGGTTTCTTTTTTTTTTCAGATTGAAGTATTTAACATAGAAATATAGTTTATACCAGTAGTCTTCTATAGTTGCAGTAAAATGTCTTCATTTTCATCTAAAGCAATTACTTATTCCTTTACCATTGGAGCAATTGGTGGAATGATAATTATCTTGAAACGGTAAGTCCATAAACAATGCATGGAAGGAGAACAAATAAGGGATAAGTAGTGGAGATAATTTTTAAACCTTAATAGTACTTAAAATATTCTTAAATGAGATTTAAATATCCTTATGAGTTTTTAGCTCACCGGGGCCCAAAGGGCCCCATGTGAGCTTATGCCATCACTTGGCATCCGTCGTCGTAAACTATTTCAAAAATCTTTTCCTCTGAAACTACTGGGCCAAATACCTTCAAACTTTAACTAAATGTTTCTTAGGGTATCTAGTTTATAAATTGTATCCGAAGTTTTGATCCATCAAAAAACATGGCCGCCATGCCTAAAAATAGAACATAGGGGTCAAATGCAGTTTTTGGCTTATATCTCAAAAACTAAAGCTTTTAGAGCAAATCTGACATGGGGTAAAAATTGTTCAATTGGTCATGATCTATCAGCTCTGAAATTTTCAGATGAATCGAACAACCCATTGTTGGGTTGCTGCCACCGAATTGGTAGTTTTTTAACAAAATTTTGCAGTTTTTTGTTATTATTTTGAATATTATTATAGATATATATAAACTGTAAGCAGCAATAATGTTCAGCAAAGTAAGATCTGCAAAAAAGTTAATATGACCAAAATTGTCAATTGACCTCTTAAGGAGTTATTGCCCTTTAAAGACAATTTTACACAATTTGTTCATCAAGTTTGCTAACATTTAAAAATCTTCTCCTCTGAAATACAGGTGAGCGATTCAGGCTCTAAGAGCCTCTTGTTCTGATAAAACCATATGTGTGTGGATATTTAATATACATTTTGTACCAGGAGGTAAATGATCATGGGTTAAACTGTACTTTTGTATTACTTTAAACTGAAATGTTCACCAAAGACTTTTCATTAGAAGAAATTGCATGGAGACATTATCATGATAAGAATTACAACAAATTGAACATGTAACATATGTAGACATAATTGGTTCTCCTGCATAGAAGTATCAAAAACATATAAATATGCTGTGACATAACATTAACTTATTCCATTCTAATGTACAGAAAAGCACACGGGATTACATTCAACGGAGATGAGAGAATTCATGGGAGAACAGTAATAGTGACTGGAGCTAATTGTGGTATTGGTTACCAAACAGCTGGCATGTTAGCAGCTAGGGGTAGGTATATTAATAGATTATCGATGGTTTTTCAATATTTAATATGAAAAAAATGGATTTGTTGAGTGTGTGTAGATGAGACTGCAACCTAACAACACAAAAACAAGCTTTTTTGAAGCTGAAGTTAAGGGAAAAAAGTGCCTTCCAATCCCTCAATACATTTCTTAACAAACAGACATAACTGAAAAGTGAAAGATTTAAAAACATAACAGTGAAAATATATTTTCAGGTGGTAAAGTTATAATGGCATGTAGAGACATGAAAAAATGTGAGGATGCAAAAGAAGAAATTATAAAAAATACTTGGAATAAAAAAGTGTTTTGCAAACATCTCGATTTGGCATCATTGGATTCTATAAGAGAATTTGCAGAGGATTTTAATAAAAGTAAGTTATAATTATGGTATTATATTGTCTTTATTATCGTTTTATTAACTTATCTAGTGAAAGACAACTGTGAATACCTGTCAGTATCCACCCACTATTACCCAACCGCACGATTACCACTTCAGGTGTTGGTTCACCATATATAAATTCAAGTTTTTTTTTTATGGTATAATAGTATAATGCAAATACATGTAACCTGTTTTAATTTGGGGAAAAAATATATGCAGTTTGTCCAATATATTGATTGTCTGGAAGTTAATACTTCAAGTAAGTTCAGGGTGAGCAGCTTCTTCATAGCGGATAATAAGGAGAAAATGGGAAAGAATTTTGATTAAAATTTCACTAAATGTACATAGTTAAGGCCCAGAATTATTTCTCAGAAAAGGCGAATGACAAACCCTTCAAAAAAGTTCAAGGGTTTCTAATGTGCTCTAAGAGAAATAACTCGCATAACAGGTTTGGGGATTTCAATTAAATGATTGCAAAAAATGTATATTCGTTCATGTTTGACAACCGAAGGAACAGGCTTTGTTCATTGGTCCTAATGCCAGACTCAGAGAATTCCAAGCACCTGTAAGGAGGTATGTAGATTCTATAGAATTAGTTCAATACACTAATTTAAGTTCTGCTGGAGTTAAGCCATCAATCAATCTACGGTAGTTAAAAATTACAATTTTGTCAAAATATCTGGTTGAGTCTCTGTATAGAAATTTTGACCTTTTCTTTTATACTGAGATTTAGATTTATGAATTGGCATATTCTAGACACATTTTTTTACTGAGTTTTGCCGTGTTGGTTTATATATTTAATATTTATATATAATATAATATGACATTTAATAGGAAATACTTATTATGGAGTCAAATTATCCTTACTGTATTTATTGCTATTATTAGAAAT